GTATGTGTGTGTGTATGTGTGGATCGAGTTGTACAATGCAACGAGCCTCATGGCTATATATATTGTATTAGTGAAAAATAGACTCGCCACGTGGGTCTATTAAATGGCGAGCCCCGAGGGCTCGGGTGAGTTTTGGATAGGCCGTGAGTGCATTTTTAACCTTTGTGAAAATCTGGCATTTCAGTTCTGGTATTTTCGCATTTTCGAAGAAGTTCTCGCAAATGCGAGCCCTTGATCGCAAATGCGATAAGGGGGAAATCCTGCATTGGGTCGCAAATGCGACCATCTGGTTCGCAAATGCGACCATCTGGTTCGCAAATGCGAAGGTGGGCCATGTCGCAAATGTGACTTTTTGCTCGCAAATGCGAAGTCTGGGTTTTTCAAGAGGGTTCGCAAATGCGAACCCTGGTTCGCATTTCCCATATTTGGTCGGGGTTCGCAATATTTCTCACATCTGAGGCCTGCATATTTTATACTTAGTCGAATTTTGGACCATTTTTCACCCCACTTTCAAAATTACAACTCCTTAGGCGATTTTTCAAGAATAAGACTTCTTCCAAATCATTTGTAAGTCAAATTTTACTCATTTCTTTCAATCATTAACATCATTTAACATGTTTTCAACTTAAAATCAATGATTTTGATGGGTGAAATTGGGGGTTTTGGGTAGAACCTAGGTTTTTCTAAAATTGGGGATTTGGACCTCAATTTGAGGTCCGATTTCAAAACAAATCATATATTTGGGTTCGTGGGGGAATGGGTAAACGGGTTTTGGTTCGAACCTCGGGTTTTGACCACGTGGGCCCGGGGGCAATTTTGGAATTTTCGGGAAAAACTTGGGGAAATTCATTTTTATGCATTCAAATTGATTCATTTAGTGTTTATTAATGTGATTAAGTAATTTGTGATTAGATATGAGCGAATTGGTGGCAGAATCGAGGGGTAAAGCTATAATTAAGGCTTGAGTTGAATTCAAAGCAATGAGGTAAGTATTTGGTTTAACACTAACTTGAGGGATTAGGAGTTGAGTCATATTTGCTGATTGTTTTGGTGTCGAGTACGACGTATAGGCATGGTGACGAGTATCTATACGTTGGTGTCGAGCATGACCGTGGGTCTTAAATTGATAATTCTTGTGTTCTTAATGGATTCTATGAAAGCTTGATTGATGATTCTCGATACTGCGCAAGGACTTAGTCTATTTCCGTGGACTTTAGTTATGACTGAGTATTGGTATTAATTGTGTCAAGTAGAAGTTGGATAAGATTGGTTATAGCTGACTCTCCCTTGCCGGGAAGTTATTATATTGTTGTTCCCTTGCCGGAAAGTTATTATATTGTTGTTCCCTTGCCGGGAAGTTATTATATTGTTGTTCCTAGCCGGGATTATTTTGTTATGTTGTGTTGGATTGAAATGGGAGCGGGTGGTACGCCTACCACAAGATTGATGAAATGGGAGCGGGTGTACGCCTACCACAGGATTGATGAAATGGGATCGGGTGGTACGCCTACCATAAGATTTTATGAAATGGGAGCGGGTGGTACGCCTACCACGAGTTACAAGAAATGGGATCGGGTTGCACGCCTGCAACAAGACGAGCTGAACATAAAAATTGTCTTTAATTCTTATTGCCGTGTTAGAAGCTAGACTGTACATTTCTCCTTTATTATTCCTGATATTCTATTTATATCTGCTACCCCTGAAGCATGTTCCCTCCCCCAGTTATAATTGTTTATTTCTGTTTGCCTCTTTGTTGTATTGTATATTTATATCTGCACAGGTTTATCTGGAGTCTGGTCCTACCCCCGTCACTACCTCGCCGGGGTTAGGCCAGGCACTTACCAGCACATAGGGTCGGTTGTGCTTATGCTACACTCTGTGCTCTTTTGCATAGATCCAGGTGTCGGAGCGGATTACGGTGTGCAGCAGTAGCCAGGGAGCAGTCCTTCAGTCCATGAGATCCCAGGTAGTCCTGCAGGCGTCCGTAGGCCCGGCATCTCTTTTATCCCCTTTCTGCCCTGTTTCCCTTGTACCGAGACTGAGTTTTATTATTTTGTTGCAGACCTTGTATTTAGCATTCCTAGATGGTCCGTGAAATGTTGTGACACCAGGTGCTGGGTAGAGACTTGTATTGATGGTTAGACGATGTTGCTATATTTTTAGTTCAGACTTCCGCTATCTTTTATTAGTCGCAGTATTTTAAATTGCTTAGGCATCTATAATTTAAATTGTTTAATCATGGGTAAAATGAGTTAGGATGATGTTTGCGACTGTTCTTGGCTTGCCTAGCTTCCACGAGTAGGTGCCATCACGACTCCCGAGGATGGGGATTTCGGGTCGTGACATTTGCGTACACTCTACTCTCCCCAGACCCCACTAGTGGGATTTTACTGGGTATGTTGTTGTTGTTGTTGTAATTTATAGCATACTGTTCCCAAGTTAGCCATAGTTCGGCCCTTCAAGCTCTGTTCGGCTCATTATCCTATCAAGGATCATTCAATAAGAATTCTTTCTTCTTCGTTTTATTTTTATTACATTATCTGTCATTAAATTTATTTTCCACTTCTCTATCACGTTGCATTAACGAAAATTTATATCTTTCGGATTGAATCGGTTGCTTGTGGCCCGTCATATAAAATTATTGCTTTGACCTTGAAAACTATTTTTTGGGTTAATCATATATGCGGATCGGGTTGCACGCCGCAACGAGCTTTATGGCTATACATATGTGGATCAGATTGCACACCGCAACCGGCCTTATGGCTATGTGTGGATCGGGTTGTACGCTGTAGCAGGTATTGTATAGTGCTGAGTGACTGAGTGTGTTGAGTATTGAGCATGATGAGAGAGAATTCAAGACAGTGAGATTGAGTACTCTGAGAGTGTGAGTACATGAGTTCATCACTGAGATACATGGCATTTGACATGTGTACTTGAGATACATGCTTAGAGATGCATTTCCTCCTACTACCCGGTTTGGTGACATTTATGATTTTACCTATATCTTGACATTTAGGCATAGAGATGTATTTTCCTCACGCTATCTGATAATGAAATATCCTATTTATTGTTGAAAGGATTTTTGGAAAAAATCACAGTTTTCAAGCTTACTCATAATTTCTTAGCAATTTCGATAAAGGATTTGGGTTTTCGCTAAGATACTTGAAAAGCATGCCTATTTTCTAGAACTGTGAACGAGCTGAGCAATCTATTTCTGAGATACTTCTTTTATTACTTGCACTATATTGTTATGAACTGTTGTTGGCTATTGGTGTCGGACCCGACCTTTATTCCAGCTTACCTAGCGGGGGTCGGTTGTACTCATGCTACACTTCTGCACCTTGCATGCAGATGTTGGATGCTGATGTTGCTACGTACGGCGGGAGCTGGATTGGAAGTCGTACCTGCGTTCCAATCACAGTTGCCTCTTGTTCTTGGTAGCTTTAGAATTATTAATCTGTTTATGTATTATTCAGACAAATGATGTATTTTTATTTCACACCAGCGTTATAAATTCTAATCTTAGAAGCTCATGATTTGTACTACCAGTCCTTGGGAAAATTCTTGTATTAAACAGTTGTATTATCATTTCTTCTCTTAATAAGTCTTATAAAATTGAATAGTTTCTACTTAGCTTACCTAGCGGGGGTTAGGTTCCATCACAACTAGTTGAATTTTGGGTCGTGACACCGAGAATATCGATCATTGCTTAGAACACATAATAAAATTAAGAAATACTTCAATACAACCATCAAGTATGGTTACAAATCTTTATTTCATAAATTACTTAATATTAAGAGGCATAAAAAATGTAAATTCACAAAAGCGGGAAGACACAGAGTACTCATTATTTGAAACATCAATCTTGGTACACAGAAATATTTGGCCTAGGCTCAAAATCTTCGGCAAAAGACTTTTCTTGTTTAAGACCATCGTCATCATCATGATAACCAGTTGCACCAGGCCTTGGCTCGAAATCTTTCGTAAATAATAAGTTCTCAGCTTCTTTCAGGTTGGCATCGTCGTACACAGACATATTTGTCTTAGGCTCAAAATATTCAGCAAAGGACTTTTCTTGTTTAAGACCAGCATCATCATCATGATAACCAGTTGCACTAGGCCTTGGCTCGAAATCTTTCGTAAATAATGATTTATCAGCTTCTTTCAGCTTGGCATCGTCGTGATAGACAGATAGATCAGTCTTTGGTTCAAAGGCTTCACCTCCAATAGAAGATGATGTGTAACAATCAGTTTTATCTTTGGAGAGAGGAACTGAATGCCGAGGCATAAGATGTTTGATTTCTTCAGGCATTGGCTCATTCATAACAGCTCTCCAGTATTCTCCAGGGTCTTTTCTCGCATAAGTGTTGCTTGTGTACTGGAGAGAGAGAAACCATAAAAAGACTTTCGAATATATACTATATGAACTTCTTTACGTTCGAGTACATAATCTATCTCATCATCATATCATATATCATATATCATATATTATACTAATACTAATATCTATATCTATATTATTATAATAGCATGAATAAAATGTTAATTTACAAAAATAACATTCTAATATTAAGCATAATGACTCACAATAAAAGGATATAATCGAAATATTAGACATTTGTCTTATAATCCTATTAGTTTTAAGGCATAATACTACACGTTAGAAATCCTACGTCTTTAAATTAGAAATCGTAAAACAAACGAACTTGGAATTTCACTTAATCAAGATTCCTTCCTACTCATTTTCATGTAAGGAAAGTAAGATAATAAAAGGAATTTCTCCTAGCCCTTTAGCGACTCAATTTGATTCCTATTTTCATAATTCAATTGAAAAAAATTATAGTCTATTAATCCAGCTTTATCGTTGGTCTACTCATTGATTTACAGTGTAAATATTCAAGAAATTATTGGATTCTTTCAAATATACTTGCAATAAGATTGGTACTTCTCTTTTACTAAAGTTGAATCCATTTGTGGAACAATCAATATCCACACGATAGTTAATCGATCTAATTTAAAACTTGTCCAGTTAAGCGATACATATCTTACAAAAATTGTTAAGTTAAGAAATAAAAACTAAAGAATATGTTGAGTTAAGAAATATATTAAAGAGTAAAAAATTAAGTTACTATTCTTAGGAAGATTGAATATATCTATTTAGTGATCTAATAGAGAAGTCAATGTGATTTGGTAGCTTCTAAAAGGATGATAAAATTACGGAAAATAAAATAGAAGATTGCTAATTCTTCAGGTCGTTAATGCGTCGGGAGAAGGCGGTGCTTATCAGGCATAACTTCCGCCAAGGGAACTCAGTTGTTCACCTTCTAGCTAAAGAACCTTTCAACCAATCCAAATTCAAGAAGACATGTCATAAAGTAGCTAGCTAAGGATCTCGAAAATAAAATGCTCTTTTTGTTAAGTATCTACCGGAAACTATATATAATATGCAAGCCAGCTTTGGAAACTTAAGTGTCTTAAAGGATATTGCTGTGCATTATAATATTTTAGGAATTCCGTATTAATACGTATACTGTTTTCTAAAATAAACCAATGTTAGAAAACTGTTGGATACATATTAAGAAGAATATGTCAAATGACTTTACAAGGATACCCGAGAGTTCATATAATACTCAACTATAATGCACATTGAACAACATTAATTATTTCCAACAAATCATAGGCAAGAGAGCTAGAAAATATCATTTATCTTGATTTGATCATGGTCGAGATGATAATATTGCATAAATATAAAAAAATTATTGAAGAAAAGGTCGTACAAATTTCTGAGAAAGATTTCAATGCACAATTAAAGCTAAATTTTTAAGACTATATTATAAAAAATTGGCTTTGATAAAATGGGATAATTTTTGTAAATGGACCTGGAGGAACAAAATTTTCTTTTATCATGCTATAAATGTCATATCGATCAAGAGACATAATACCATTAGTAACAATAACAAGTGGTGTAGTATCAACAATCTTAATACAAAATCGTACGACTCACTTTAGATTCAAAAAGCCTCTTCAAACAACTCAAACAATCATCACAATAACAGAGTAGTGATGCTAAATTGATAAGAAAAGAAAATTTGATTATTGTGAAGCACCTATGGCGAAGAGATGATCAAAACTTTGGAGTTATAGTGATTATCGATGAACCATTTGGTGAAAAATAATAGTTTTTGGAGGTGATTTTCGTCAAGTACACAGTAATTTCATAACAATGAGAGCACTGACTATAGAAATTTGAGAGAGATAAAAGGTCCAATGATTTCTTCTTCGGGTGGAGAAGAGCATACAATAAAAGACGATTTACTCCTTCTAGAAGAATTAGTTATCAAAGCCCATTGGTGATAGTAGTGGTGAAGATCACTTAATATGAAAAGCTGACATTAGATAAAATGCAAGTTATGAAAATTATATGATAGAAAATGCTATCTTAGCTATCAGAAATTAATATGTAATCAACTAAATGAGATGTTCATTGTCAAGTTCCCTGGTGAAAGCAAAATAATTTTCAGTTTCGACTCAATAGGAGATGTTACCAACAACTACTAAGAGGAAGAGTACTTAAATACTTAATGCCATCAAATTCATTTTTTATATTTGTTACTGCCATATATGTATATAACAGACAAATTAAAGTTGAAATTGATCTTCTATTGCATAAAAGTTGATTTTGACAGCAACAAAAAATGTGTGCATCATACTATCGATAAATTTAGATCCGCAGAATAATTTATAGGTAATGTTACAAAGACGATATTTTGAAATAACATCACACATGTGAAATCATGATGGCCAATATGCTCCCAAACATGTATTTATCCCTAGAATTCAACTCTTGCCTCCAGAAAATAAAGGATATCCCTTGTGTTTTGCAATAACAATAAATAAAGCATCAAACATTAGACGGTATTTACGACACAAGAAATTATATATTTTACTATCAAGAGAGATATCACTATTGACAACAAGAGATTCGACAATGATTGAGTAACCTAAGTGTTAGAAAGGAATATACACAAAATATATCAAATAAAAAAAAAGTCTTAGGTATATCGCATTGCATATTTTTAATCTATAAATACATAATAGTATTATCTAAATAATATGACTAAATTGCCCATTTTTGCAAGTTCAGATGATGTCTAATCATTTTGAATTCACGTAGTATATAATATATATTATTTTCTTATTAATTTAATTTTTTGTTCCTTTATATAGTTAACAGTATTACTAAATTCTAACGTGTCATTATTAACGTGCAACTCACGTTCATAGAAACTAGTCTATACTATATTAAAAGCACGAAGGCTTTTAGCGAAATGTCGTTCGCCTTTTATACCCTTTAAAAATAGATTTTACAATGGACAAATTAGTAAATTAAATTATTCTCCTAATATTTAGGACTTTAAAAATAATTAAAATTTTTGTTATTAAGTCTTTCCTTATTAAACTAAGTATGAAGTCCTAAAATTAAGGATTTTAAAATCGTGAATCACTTTCTTATTTGAATTATGTAATATAATTATAATGTTTTCCATGTTATTTTTGCTTTTGAAATCAACTAACGAGTGAATTTAAAGTTTGTAAAAGATCCAGAGACTCAACGCCATACTAACATGAGTCCGTACCATTTTCTTTTACCCTTTGATACATAAATATAGAGTAGTAAGACGTCCAAATGAAAAATAAAAGTTTCTTACTATTTTCAGAATATTTTATATAAACAAATATACATATATCATATATGCTAAAAAAAGATAACATAATGTATGTCACTTGTTTTTTTATTTATAAATTAGCAATTAACGAAGGTGTTTAGATAGTTTTCAAACGTGATGAATGCTATATGAACAATAAAAGAAAACGAATAACTAACATTATTTTAACAATATTTAGGACTTCAGCATTAATTAAAAAAAATGCTTATTAATTAATCTTCCTTATTTACACTATGTAGAAGGCCCAATATGTAGGACTCTAAATTCAACTAAAATTTAATTTTATATAATTTTTTAATCTTTATTTGACCAACTTTTGTTTGTACTTTAAAAGTGTATTTGGAGTTTAATACGTGGCAGTTAATATTTTCTTTATTCTTAGCCTTTGAGGTGTATGATTATTAGTATCTTTCTCTCCAAATATTACAACAATCACGATACATTAGTAATGCACGTTCGATTTTGCTTTTAGTCTTTTAAGAGTTTTGATCTAATTTTAAGTATAAATTTCTAGAAGTTTCAACTAACATGGAAATATTAATTCAAAATATAAATTAAGCTACAACAATAATATGTAAAATTATAATACAATTAATATTTTAAACTTTAGATAAACTAATATGTGTAAAACTTTGAAATAGCTATAATTAAATTTGTTTTTTTTCTTCCTATTTTGAAAATTATCCTTAGAACTTTTGAAATTTCAAAGTCGTCATTAGAACTCTTGAATATGCCAAAAAGGGAATTTAGACTTAAACTATTATGAATATAGGCAAAAAAAAATTACACAAGAAAAGGTATGGTTAACATATAAACTATTATTTTGATGAACTTTTAATGAACATATAAGAATACCTAAGTTGCGTGGAACAAATTACACATGTTAAAATCATACATAATATGATTCAACAAAGAGATATTAAGTGAGGTATAACAACATAACATATTTGTATCTTATATAATAAGATATCACTAACACCTATAACAACATAACATATTTGTATCTTATATGATAAGATATAACTAACTACAAATACTATATAACTTATTTAACTAAGTAAATTCATCATATTTGCCTTTATAACATATTAAATTTAACTATTATTTCATGCAGAACCATCCATTTTCATAAGTTAAACTGTTAAACAAATATTATGTTAATTGCTATTTTCCAACAATATATTGTTTTTGTATATGTTTTATATTAATTGACGCGATGTACACGTGCAACGCACGTACACTATGACTAGTTATACTAAAAGTGGGAAGCACCCTAAACTTAAATTACGCAAATGCCCATCAAATTTGAGTGACCATCTTGCCTTGCC